ATAAAATAAATAAATAAAATCTTAAAAAAAACCCCAAAAACCTTTAAAGTAAGGCAAGACAGTTACTATCGCTGGGGAGTGACACTGGAGCAGACAGTAGCACAGAGCTAGCCATGAAGCTGGCTCCAGGAAGAGCATTCTGTGTGGAGGGAATGGCAAGTACAAAGGCCCTGAGGCAGGAATACGTTGAGGGTTGTTTGAGGCCAGCAAAGAGGCCCATGTGGCTGGAGCGGAGTAAGGGACAGGAGGGAGGGTCACCAGCACCTCAAATGCAACCCCAACTGCCTTAGTTTCCCCTCTCCGTGCTGCTGTCTTCATCCACCCAGGCCACGTCCACCCTCTACTGCCAAAGCCTCTCTTCTGCCCGCCTCCCATGTCCTGTGAATCACCTGGTCCTCCCATTTTGCCACCTAAGCATTTCCTGCCCTTATCTGCCCTCACCCTTTGGGGGCTGCCCAAGGTCAGCCCTGTCCCCGGTGACCTGGAGTGCTCCCACAGCTTCTGCTCCGCTCCCTGCAATTCCAATCCGAACAGCTCACTGGTTGGCTTGAAATCCTTCACTCCCATCGCCCTCAGGGTCAAGTCCAGCTCCTGAACCAGACCTGGCCTGAGCCCATCCCAGCCTCTCCAACTTACTTCTTCCAGCATTCCAACCAAAATGGTTAAAGCACAGAGCTGGTGACAGTTTCTGATCACATGAAGCTATTTATCACCTCTGTTTATCACCTCTGGCTAACTCTTCCCCTTAGACCTTCAGCTGGGAGGGGGCACCTCTTCCAGGAAGCCTTCTGAAACTTGCCCCAGGCCTGGTTAAATGCCCTGCACTCCCATAGGCCCAAGACTTAGTCACTGCCTTCCCCAGCTTGTACCCCAGTCACCGTCCTTGGGTCAGTCTCTCCTGTGGAGGAGGAGACCGGACCCCGTGCAAAGCACATGTCAGACCTCAGTGATCAGACTCCACAGCGGGGTTCTCAGCTGGGCAGTTCTGCCCCCCAGGGACACTTGGCAATGTCTGCAGACATATTAGGTTGTCATAGCTGGGGGGAAGGTGCAACTAGCATCCAGTGGGCAGAGACCAGAGATGCTGCTAAACACCCTACAATGCACAGGACAGCGCCCCCCACCCCAACAAAGAATTCCTGGGCCCAAAATGCCACTTGTGCCGTGGTTAAGAAACTGCTCATCAGCAATGAACTGTGAGCCTCAGAGGGCAACCTCAAGCCCCAGGGTCAAAGGTACTACCCCGGGGTGGGGGGGCACTCTGTAAATTCGGGGCGACTGCCCTAGTCGCCACAATGAGGGCGACCCTCTTGGCATTTGGTAGGCACAGACTAGAAATGCCAAGATGCCCTCTTGCAATACAGAATTATCACGCGTGGGGGCGCCCGTGGCTCAGTCGGAAGAGCATGTGACTCGATCTTGGGGTCTTGAGTTCGAGCTCCACGATGGATGCAGAGCTTACTTAAAAAGGGGGGGGGG